CAGCTTTGCGCGAAATTCATAACAAACCAAACCTTCTTTTACCCACACAAATTTAAATTTGTTTAGAATGTTTTGACTTGTGTTATAAGAACTGTTTTAACTCAGTGATAGATGTTCCTTTAAATGAGTTTTATCTTCATAGAATTTTGAATCTATGTCAATACTTATTATGATTTTTGTCATTAGCCAATTATCTTTTACAACTTTGACTTAAATTTTACTGTTCTAGTTTCGTTTGCTCAGGGCAGTGTTCATATTTTAATGTGTAGCTTTGCTTGATTGGTCAATCTATGAATGTGTACTGCGTAGCTTTGCTTGATTGGACAATCTACGAATGTGTACTGCGTAGCTTTGCTTGATTGGACAATCTACGAATGTGTACTGCGTAGCTTTGCTTGATTGGACAATCTACGAATGTGTACTGCGTAGCTTTGCTTGATTGGACAATCTACGAATGTGTACTGCGTAGCACCAATCAAGCATAGATAAACAGTACACATTCGTAGATTGACCAATCAAGCACCAATCAAGCATAGATAAACAGTACACATTCGTAGATTGTCAATCTATGAATGTGTTGCTTTACAGGTGGGTCCTATTGTTGTTCACTTCTTAGGCGTGGTGTTTACATAATGAAGTCTCAGTAAGTCGGTGAATACAAACAATGAAGTCGTGCTATTTACACAGAGGAGTTGGCGTTATTTACACAGTAAAAACATGGTATTTACACAGGGAAGGTTTGATATTTACACAGTGAAATGCTGGGATTCTACTACCAAGAACGAAAATCGAAAAAAAAAAATGATAGTACGTTGCTGTGCATCAACGTCAGAAAACGAGTTTCACAAGTCTTCAAACTTGATTAACATTTCTCTGTTAAATACTATGCGGAAAAATAGACATATATTAAACGGGTAGGAAGTTGAACTAGTCTTTCTTTCTCTCTTAATTCCAATATCCAATATAATCTGACAGATTTGTACGGCCATAATGCCGGGAAATGTGAAATATTAATGAAAATAGCATATCTTTACTTTTCCTCCACCTGTTCTAAACTCTAGAGTTTTAACCAAACTCAGCGGCGAGCTCCAGGTCTTATAACGGTAAAATTCGGTGTTCGATCCCCATGGCACAGGTAGTCCACTGTGTACATTAGCATAAAATACCCGCGTTCCGCTGCGGTTATTAACGAGCCCCCCCCCTACGTACCCCCCCATTATCCCCCATTACTTACTTCTATAGTTACCGTAAAGAAGCTCATACCCGATACAAAAACCCGTTATGACACTCACCTGTGGTACGTGAGAACGTGTGCCAATTCTGCTCTCGCTAACTTACGAGTGGGATATGAATACAATTTCAAATATGTCCTCCCCCCCCCCAAAAAAAAAGAACACAAAATCCAAGGCCAAATTCGGGCTCATTCAATTCAACTGTCAAGAGTGTGTTACCTGCTCAACGTGGCCATCATTAATGTTATTGATGATCTGCTTCAATGAGATAGCGTGATAGCCATCTCAGCGAAAATGTCAATTATTCAACATGTTTGTTTGTTTTGAATTTCGCGCAAAGCTACACGAAGGCTATCTGCGCTAGCCCTCCCTAATTTTCCAGCCATAGGTTATAGGGAAGGCAACTAGTCAACACTATCTATCATCAATTCTTTAACCCAGTGGTTCCCAAACTCTTTTAGTCTGAGACTCCCTTGAGGTCAATATAAAAGTTTGAAGCCCCCCCAACCTATAAAAATGTCTTAAAATGTGATTTTAAAATGCCCCCCACTACTTTAGCATGGTGATTAAAAAAACAGTACCGTAGTAAAAATAATAACATCTCCTTTCAACATGCTGTATCATTTAATTAATTCAACATAATCTTTATAGGTCTATTCTTTATTTAGAGTTAAATCGTTGTTTTCGGCCCATTTTTTTCACGGCCCCCCAGAAAAGGCTTCACGGCTCCTAGAGGGGCCGCAGTTCCCACTCTGGGAAACACTGCTTTAACCAACGAACAGTGAAATTGATTAGCACATTGCAACGCCCTCGTGGCTGACAAGAGCGAGCATGTTCGATGACAGCATTTAAACTCACGACCCGCAGATTGTGAGTCGATCCCCTTAACTACCGTGCGAATGTAAGTGTGCGTTTTAGTTTATTTTCATACTAATATGCAGCTAACTTCTTCCTTCTTCATCATGTATTTAATGACAAGTAATTATAGTGAGAATTGATAATGTACAAGTACACTGAGGAAACACCAATATCTCTAGACTACTGTACTTTTCCCAACAATAACACAACTCCACATTGTTATTGGCATCCGTTCGTCTGCAAGAGATGATGGACATTGTTGTTGGCATCTCTTCGTCTGCCAGAGATGGTGGACACTGTTGTTGGCATCTCTTCGTCTGCCAGAGATGGTGGACACTGTTGTTGGCATCTCTTCGTCTGCCAGAGACGGTGGACACTGTTGTTGGCATCTCTTCGTCTGCCAGAGACGGTGGACACTGTTGTTGGCATCTCTTCGTCTGCCAGAGATGGTGGACACTGTTGTTGGCATCTCTTCGTCTGCCAGAGACAGTGGACACTGTTGTTGGCATCTCTTCGTCTGCCAGAGATGGTGGATATTGCAACTTCTTCTGTGGTTGAATGCGGGACTTGCAGATTCTGTTGTAGCTATTGTACTTGATGACAGAGGATGGCTCTGAGTCCGTCTGTTTTTTCTGTCTCCATTTTCTCTAGCTGGGAGAGCCACTCTTTGTGTTGTTCCTTGACATCAAGAAGGAGAAGGGAGCGCCATTTCTGTCTGCAATAGACTGGGGACAGTTGATACGGAGATGTGTCAATGTCCTCCACTCGGCTTAATCGGTTCATTCCAAAGGAAGGTAAGAGGCCAGTCATTACATTCGGAACAGAGATCTTCCACCTGTCCCCCCCTTTCTAGGCTCCAATCCTGAATTGGCTGCTGACCAACGCTGGAGAGCCCACCCTAACCCTTATTCCTCTC